CCAGTCCATAGCATCAATGCCTTCCTCTTGCAGGAACTGCTGACACACTCCAGCCACATGAGGTCTAGCATTGTCTTGCATTAGGAGGAACCCAGGGCCAACCGCACCAGCATATGGTCTCACAAGGGGTCTGAGGATCTCATCTCAGTACCTAATGGCAGTCAGGCTACCTCTGGCGAGCACATGGAGGGCTGTGCGGCCCCCCAAAGAAATGCCACCCCACACCATGACTGACTCACCGCCAAACCGGTCATGCTGGAGGATGTTGCAGGCAGCAGAACGTTCTCCACAGCGTCTCCAGACTCTGTCACGTCTGTCACGTGCTCAGTGTGAACCTGCTTTCATCTGTGAAGAGCACAGGGCGCCAGTGGCGAATTTGCCAATCTTGGTGTTCTCTGGCAAATGCCAAACGTCCTGCACGGTGTTGGGCTGTAAGCACAACCCCCACCTGTGGACGTCGGGCCCTCATACCAGCCTCATGAAGTCTGTTTCTGACCGTTTGAGCAGACACATGCACATTTGTGGCCTGCTGGAGGTCATTTTGCAGGGCTCTGGCAGTGCTCCTCCTGCTCCTCCTTGCACAAAGGCAGAGGTAGCAGTCCTGCTGCTGGGTTGTTGCCCTCCTACGGCCTCCTCCAAGTCTCCTGATGTACTGGCCTGTCTCCTGGTAGCGCCTCCATGCTCTGGACACTACGCTGACAGACACAGCAAACCTTCTTGCCACAGCTCGCATTGATGTGCCATCCTGGATGAGCTGCACTACCTGATCCACTTGTGTGGGTTGTAGACTCCGTCTCATGCTACCACTAGAGTGAAAGCACTGCCAGCATTCAAAAGTGACCAAAACATCAGCCAGGAAGCATAGGAACTGAGAAGTGGTCTGTGGTCACCACCTGAAAAACCAGTCCTTTATTGGGTGTGTCTTGCTAATTGCCTATAATTTCCACCTGTTGTCTATTCCATTTGCACAACAGCATGTGACATTTATTGTCAATCAGTGTTGCTTCCTAAGTGGACAGTTTGATTTCACAGAAGTGTGATTGACTTGGAGTTACATTGTGTTGTTTAAGTGTTCCCTTTATTTTTTTGAGCAGTGTATTTTTAAAGACACTGAAATAGGTATATCTTAAATTGATAAATGCGTATGTGTGATCTGCAAAATGATTTGCTTCTGCATGATTTTGTACGTTTTTAGAATGTCATGATTTCTGTTAGGCTTAGGTACATTTTCGGAGAGATAATGACTTACAAGTAAAAAAATTTGACAGGAGGCATTGTCTGAAATAAAGGAAACAATGACAGCGTTAATGACATAGTTAATCAACAATTACAATTAACAATTATTTAACAGGCTGTGCTTTGACCATCCTGGAAATTCCATAGACCAGCCTGCGAGGCCTCTAATTATCCTCACCAGCCTGCGAGGCCTCTAATTATCCTCACCAGCCTGCTAGGCCTCTAATTATCCTCACCAGCCTGCGAGGCCTCTAATTATCCTCACCAGCCTGCGAGGCCTCTAATTATCCTCACCAGCCTGCGAGGAGCCTTTACTTATACAACAGTCTGAGAGGCTCCTATTGACATTGACAAGCATGCGAGGAACCTTTAATTATACACCATCCTGCAATTGTGTTAGTAAGATGAAAATATATGTATATATCTATCAGCCAGTTAAGATACAGCTTGCTATATTAGCTCATTGCTCCAGAGAAAATAGCTAGCTAAGCAGTTAGTAAAAATAGTAGTTGTACTTGCTTTAATGTAACATTAGCTAGTTAGATTAAAAACATTAGCTAACTAGCTAAACAGACAGCAAAGATGCAGCTTGCCAGCTAAGATATAGCTTGCTATATTAGCTCATTGTTCCAAAGAAAATAGCTAGCTAAGCAGTTAGTAAAAGTAGTAGATGTACTTGCGGCATTATGTCGTTAGATGAAAGCATTAGCTAAATAGCCAGCCAATCTACAGCTAGCTAGCAAGCAAGCTAAGTTAGCTCCTTTGAAAAGATAACTAACCAGTAAAGCAGTTAAACTCATTTATAGAGTGTCTTTAGAAAGTATTCATACACCTTCTTGACTTATTCCACATTTTGTTGTGTTACAGCATGAATTCAAAATGGATAAAATAGATTTTAGCAAATTTCTGGAAAATGAAATACAGAAATATACAATTTACGTAAGTATTCACACCCTTGAGTCAATACTATGTAGAAGCACCTTTGGCAGCGATTAGTGCTGTGAGTCTTTCTGGGTAAGTCTCTAAGAGCTTTCCACACCTGGATTGTGCAACATTTGCCCATTTATTCTTTTCAAATGTCTTTAAGCTCTGTCGAGTTGGTTGTTGATCATTGCTAGACAACCATATACTTCAAGTAGATTTAAGTCAAAAACTGTAACTCAGCCACTGTCTTCTTGGTAAGCAACTCCAGTGTAGATTTGTCCTTGTGTTTTAGGTTATTGTCCTGCTGAAAGGTGAATTCATCTCCCAGTGTCTGGTGGAAAGCAGACTGAACCAGGTTTTCCTCTAGTCTCCCAGTGTCTGTTGGAAAGCAGACTGAACCAGGTTTTCCTCTAGTCTCCCAGTGTCTGTTGGAAAGCAGACTGAACCAGGTTTTCCTCTAGTCTCCCAGTGTCTGTTGGAAAGCAGACTGAACCAGGTTTTCCTCTAGTCTCCCAGTGTCTGTTGGAAAGCAGACTGAACCAGGTTTCCCTCTAGGATTTTGCCTGTGCTTAGCTCCATTCCCTTTATTGTTTATCCAGAAAAACTCCCTAGTCCTTAACGATGACAAGCATACCCATAACATAATGCAGCCACATTTTTTTTGTTGCAGTATTACTTTAGTGCCTTGTCGCAAACAGGATGCATGTTTTGGAATATTTTTATTCTGTACAGGCTTCCTGCTTTCCCCTCTGTCAATTAGGTCAGTATTGTGGAGTAACTACAATGTTGTTGATCCATCCTCAGTTTTCTCCTATCACAGCAATTAAACCCTGTAACTGTTTTAAAGTCACCATTGGCCTCATGGTGGAATTCCTGAGCAGTTTCCTTCTTCCCCAGCAACTGAGTTAGGAAGGACGCATATATATTTCTAGTGACTGGGTGTATTGATACACCATCCATGTAATTAATAACTTCACCACGCTCAAAGGGATATTCAATGCCTGCTCTTTTAATTTTTACGCATCTACCAATAGGTGCCCTTCTTCGCGAGGTATTGGAAAATCTCCCTGGTCTTTGTGGTTTAATCTGTGTTTGAAATTCACTGCTCGATTGAGGGACCTTACAGATAATTGTATGTGTGGGGTACAGAGATGAGGTAGTCATGAAAAAATAATGTTTAAACACTATTATTGCACACAGTCAGTCCATGCAACTTATTATGTGACTTGTGGGGCGGCAGGTAGCTTAGTAGTTAAGAGCGTTGTGCCAGTAACCGAAAGGTCGCTGGTTCTAATCCCCAAGCCGACTAGGTGAAAAATCTGTCTGTGCCCTTGAGCAAGGCACTTAACCCTAATTGCTCATGTAAGTCGCTCTGGATAAGAGCGTCTGCTAAATGACTAAAATGTAAATGTTGTTAAGCAAATTTGTACTGATGGTGTAAAGATGTTAAATTATTCACAGAATTGTGGTAAGAATGTGCCCAAAAAGCTGTCAGAATCGCTGACTTCTGATGATGTTATGATCAATAATTATTGCAATATTTCACCTTTAAACTTGTAAAATGGATATGTACAATGATGGCCCTGTATCTAGCTCTGACTTTGCTGATAGCTACTTTACTGAGGAAAAATGTACTTACTGATTGTTCCACTAGCTATCTTATGATGAATGCACTAACTGTAAGTCTCTCTGGATAAGAGCATCTGCTAGATGACTAAAATGTACATATCCATTTTGCATGTTCAGAAATCAATCTTCGGACTGCTTTTTGGGCACATTTCTACCACAATTCTGTGAATAATTTAACATATATATATATATACACTACCAGTCTCAAGTTTGGACACACCTACTCATTCAAGGGTTTTTCTTTATTTTTACTATTTTTTACATTGTAGAATAATAATGAAGACATCAAAACTATGAAATAACACATATGGAATCATGTAGTAACCAAAAAAAGTGTTAAACAAATCAAATAGCCACCCTTTGCCTTGATGACAGCTTTGCACACTCAGCTTTGCAATGTTACTTTTTGGGCGACCCGACCAAATTCACATAGAAATGTGAGTTATAGATCTGTCATTCTTATTGAAAGCAAGTCTAAGAAGCGGTAGATCTGTTCTATGTGCGCTAGTGCATGCAATTCTACTAATTTAGCCATGTGGCAGAAAGACGTTTTTGCAGTTTAAAATAAGATTTTCTGCAATTATACCCATTTTGCCATTTGGTGAAGAGAGATCTTTGCGGGTTTTAAAGCTAATTTACTGCAATTCTACACATTTTGACATGACTTATGCCATGTTCATGATATCTGAGTGAGAGTGACTAACAAAATCAATGTGGGCCCCCTGGAGGTCATGGCCCGTGCCATGTGTGTCCAGTCGTTATTCGGCCATGATTATTAGAAGTTTAGATAACTGGCTAGACTAACAATCAAAAAATTGTTCGCTGACATGGCTAAATGAGTGACTCTCAGTGATGACAAGGCAGTGGAGCTCCCCTAGCGGAAGGCGGTGCTAAGCAACCGTTTATGTCGCTTATGCCTGGAGCCGGCCCTGCTGCCTTGTTGACAAAATGACCAAGAGGCACAGATTACTGTTTGATTTGAGAATGGCGCTCCTGCTCCTCCCTCCCCGCTTTCGAACGATGACGTAACGGGCCATTGCCCAGTGCCCCGCGACTCGGCATAATCGAATACGCCAACCAGGAAGTGAATTTAGCTCGATCCTCGGAAGAAGACATTTGAGTGAGAAATAAGTCGCGCAGAAACGTGAACCCTCTTGGGTTGAAGCCGAAGGGCGCCTAAATTGTATTATTATTAATTTTGTTTTATCAAAATGTCTAAACTACAGCAGTTGAATGTGTTTATCACCGAGCGGCTAACAACAGCAGCAGTGGAGATATTTGGTTCGGCGGAAAAGACGTTAGCAGTGTACCAGGAGCGGCTAACAACAGCGGCAGTTGAGATATTTGTTGTGGTGGAAAAGACGATAGCAGAGGTTCAGGGAGAGAACGACCGTCTACGGGGGCTTCTTCTAGATCATTTAGGAGCAGGTTTGTAGCGATCAAAAAGCATGTTACTTATTTAACGTAAGGTTATTCAACATTTTGTTTGCTGAATCACACTAGCTAGTGGGCTAGCCCAATGACCTAACGTTTTGGAACGTTCAGACAGTATATTTCTATGGAGACCAAACATGCCTCGGTGACGAAGAATAAGGAATCACGTCGGCTCTATTCGTTACATTTTATCTGCACTGTTCGATAACGTTTGGCAAATGAACGTGGCCCAGGTGTCAAGTATCAGATTGTGTTACTATATGTGAGATATTTTGTCGATAATGATAAAGGGCCCCGTCTAGCTCAGTTGGTAGAGCATGGCGCTTGCAACGCCAGGGTTGTGGGTTTGATTCCCACGGGGGGCCAGTATGAAAAAATATATATATATATGTATGCACTCACTAACTGTTAAGTCGCTCTGGATAAGAGCGTCTGCTAAATGACGTAATGTAAATGATAATGTAAAATCTCACCCTAAAGTTACATCGCCGCTTTAATCGCCGTACAGGACCGTCAGTGGTCACCAACCTCAAGATTTAAACATGAATTTAAACAACGTAAGCCTGTGCAACATGAACCAATTAAAAACAGTACTGTATCAATGAGGTTTGTGCAGTAGGCTATAGGCCCAAAACAGTATCACTGCATATTGGCTATGCTTGAATTGCCCTGCCAATGTTGTTCTTCTCAAACCATTTTGAAATGATAAAAATATAATAATTTGCTTATTTTTTTTACTGGACTGATGGCCTACTTCTGATGGTCAGTCTGAGGGGAGGGAGGGAGCACCCGCCCTCCTTCCCTCCGCTCAGAAAAGGGGACACAGTCTTCCAGCTGATGAAGTCGCACTGCATTATTTCTGCCTAATACACCAATTCATGTTACTCCGATGACCAGAGAAAGGGAAATATTCCTCGATATTAAAAAAGACACAAGCCGCTAATAATAACAACCCAAGCTTATCGGAACACGTTGCTGTACTCGTTTATTGTAGCTGTAGTGCTGGTTGTAGCGCGTGGAAGGAGAACATGCATTTTATGGCTTATAAAGGGGTTGAACAAAGTGTTAACAGTGCTGAATAACAACTTAAACATTAACTTACTGATAAAAACAGCAGCTCTTTGCTGTATTCGTTGAGTCTGTCTCTAGTCATTGCTGTGTATTCAAGGCTTCTTTTTCCAGACAATGGCTTGAGGAAACTGTGCAGACACTATCTATCTGATTGGCCTGTAGGTGCACTTGATTTGCTCTCTGGGCCTGCCGGGTAGGCGGAGTTCTACCTTCAGACACATAAAATGGGAACACTTTGCCTTCCCGGCGCCAGCGGCTGCTGAATCAAGTGCACCCTACTGCCAACAGCGCAAAACAAATACTAAAAAATAGGAACGCAAGGCTTTATCGTTACAGAAATGTTTGGCGATCGACTAGGAATGCTTTGGAGATCGACCAGTCGATCGCGGTCGACCGGTTGGTGACCACTGGTGTACGTGAACAGAACCATTGGACGCGTCTCAATCCACTGAATCTGCAGTGGATGGGGGGCTGCTCTAGAGCGGTATTTGTGAAACAAGGATGGATCTTTCTAGCGGTTTCCTAATCAAAACGTTGGTAAAGTTCCCCATTCTGATGAGGAACTGGCCCAATTCTGAAATGCTTAGACGAGGGATGAGACAAGTTTACAATTTCTCTTAATGTTTAAACTGCCATATTTATTAATTTTTACGTAAAAAAATAAATAAAACATAAAATGAGGTGAATTTACAGTTCAGGTGTGGTTCTGCGTATGACCGCTAGGGGGCAATGCAGTCCTGGCTACATACCTACAGGTCGTCACTAGTTATCACAGCCACAAAGTCATAAACCCCGCCTATTTCTACAATTTATCTTCTTAAAATGTGATTTCAAACCGAACCACACTGATAACATTATGCCTAAATTAAGACCAAAAATATCATCTTTGTTTTCATTAATTGTTATGAGTGGAAACCATACCAGACGGCTCTCACCTTACTGCTGTCCCCCACCCACTAAGCAACGATGGTATTAATGCTGTTTTAGGTTCTCTGTTGTGTGCTTCTCCTCCATGTTCTCAGTTGTCAGTACGTACTTCATGTCCCACTTCTTATCAACGTGACGGCTCGTTGCAGTGATGTACGACAGCGTGTTCATAGACGTCCAACAATCTGTTGTTAACGCCACGTGTGGTGTTTGAGAGCTCGCGCTTTGTACTTGCAGAGCAATCATTGTACAATTTCTCCAACAGGGTCGTCACGTTTTTTTTCGACATGGCATCTTGTAGTTTGGTTCTAGATATGTCATTAGGGTGTTGAAGTCGACATCCTCTACCATTGACAACGGCTGCATATCAACTGAAATTATTTCTGTAATCAGCGCTGTGATTCTCATACTCTGTCCCTTATCGCACCTCAGCCAGCAGGGTTGGTTGGGTCGTCCCTTTCAGCATTGTACCTGTCGCTCAATTCCACTTCTCAAAGTTAGCATTTCATAATTTTCTCATTTAACTTCTCAAAGTAGCCTATTGCCATACAGGACTTCGCTGCTGTTGCTTCCCTGTCTCACTCGCTCCCATTTTTCCAACCGTTAACGATGATGACCTGCAGAGTGCTTTATATCTGTGGCGAATAATTAGAAAGATGCATATCTCCTCCTACTAACGTTTACAGCATAGTTGCACCAGGTATTTGTTTAAAAAATATATATGTTATGATGATGATGATCAGGGCCTGTTAGTGGTAGCTCGCTAACGTTAGCCAGGCTAGGAGTTAGGGTTAAGTTTAGGAGTTGGGTTAAAGGGTTAAGTTTAGGCGACGGGTTAGCTAAAAGGGTTAGGGGAAGGGTTAGCTAAGTAGTTGCAAAGTAGCCAAAAAGTAGTAAGTGGTTAAAGTTGCTAAAATTGTCTATGATGAGATTCGAACTCGCAACCTTTGGGTTGCTAGACGTTTGCGTTATACACACACCCATCCAACCTGACCAACCACCCTCCTTCCGTTATTGCCTTAAGTAACATATCATACTGAATGGATGTCTTGGATTTACATACAGAATAATATGAAATGCTCTGAGACCAGGTTGCTGATGAAGCTCAACTCCGTTCTCTTATATTGAGGCGGAGTTGAGTTTTGATAACTGGTCGTGGGATTTGCTAGCAACAACATTGAGTCACCATCAGTCGCTTCTTGTAAAAATGTCAATTCTGAAAACGCTTACTTGTACCTATGTTTGTCCTGTACAACTGCGGTCCTTCCACGGGGTGCTGAAATTCGTACTTTTAATAAAAACGTTTAGCAAATACAACCACCGACTTTTTCCTAATTTGTGTTGCTCATACTACATAAGATTAGTTTCAATTAGGTCTGCTATCTGGGATATTTGGGACGTCCCTACCCCATTGAAGTTGACATTTAAGATGGTTAGGGTAGGGACATCCCAAGGATCCCGGGTAGCACTGTCCGATTCAATTGGCACATTCGCGATGAGTTGAGCAACACAAAAAAGGAAAAAGTTGGTTGTATTCGCTAAAAGGACTGCAGTTGTACAGGACAAACATTAGGTACAGGCAGGGGTTGGAACCAAAATAATTTTCCAATCGTTTCCTTCTGAACAGAACCACTATTTTATTTCTTTCGTTCCACTGTTCCTACCAGAAAAATAATGTTCTGAACCGGTTAAAACCCCAAAAAAGTACTGATTTATATTGTTCCTTTCTGTTCCTTTTTTAACCTGTGACATTTTTTTTTACAGCTAACAAGCTTGAGTGTGCAGAGCGGCACCAGAATTAAAAACATGTCTTATATTTTTGTAGTTAATAAATCCATTGTGAAACGTGATAACTAGGCCTATAGCAGGGTTCTTCAATTCCGGTCCTGGAGGGCCGAAACAACACTTCTGTTTTTTATTTCTACCTGGTAGTTAATTGCACTCACCTGGTGTCCCAGGTCTGAATTAGCCCCTGATTAGAAGGAGAGGATGAAAAACAGAGGTGTTTCGGCCCTCCAGGACCGTAATTGAAGAACCCTGGCCTATAGTATCCTTAACAAGCATTGAAAAAGTTAATCCATTCTTCTCTAGCTAATAAAAAAAAAATCACTCTCCCTATCTTGTTAATCACGCTTGTAACGTCAGTACAGTAACCTATGCTTCTGAGGGGAGAGGGGCAGGTAGCCTAAACACTGGTTTCCAGCTTGCAGGCAGACACTGGAATACGTTTCAGGGACAGTGAGGGCTTTGCATAGGCGCTTTGTGGGACTAGAAAAACATGCCTTGAACGCTATTAACCGGTTTCCCATGCTTTTAAAATAACAGTTCTGTTCCAGAACAGTATGGATCACTTTCGTTCCAGATTCCATTTCTGTTCCTTACCTGTTTTCAGTTCTGTTCTCTGAGCCACTTCTGACCCCTGGGCAGGGTGGGAAATTAACATTTAGGCCCACCAGGCACTGTGGCAGGTACATAGATTGTATTTTTTTTGTTGACCAGCCAAAATATTTTTCCTCACCATAATCAACACCAAAAATGACAGAATGGATGAGCATGCTTTCTAATGTCTCTAAAACAAGAAAAGTATTACTAGTAAGAAGTAATAGGGTATATTGATTAATTTAATATACTTTTTGTGGGGCCTGCGACTTTTTACCAATGTATGTTAAATGAAATCATTTAGATACAATGGCAAAAACAGAAATAGTTCTAAAACTGAACATCAAGAATCAACAAGGTGCCTACCTTCCACAAAATGCCGAGTGATACGTAGGCTTGGGCGGAGTGATACGTAGGCTTGGGCGGAGTGATACGTAGGCTTGGGCGGAGTGATACGTAGGCTTGGGCGGAGTGATACGTAGGCTTGGGCGGTGTGATACGTAGGCTTGGGCGGTGTGATACGTAGGCTTGGGCGGAGTGATACGTAGGCTTGGGCGGAGTGATACGTAGGCTTGGGCGGAGTGATACGTAGGCTTGGGCGGAGTGATACGTAGGCTTGGGCGGAGTGATACGTAGGCTTGGGCGGAGTGATACGTAGGCTTGGGCGGAGTGATACGTAGGCTTGGGCGGAGTGATACGTAGGCTTGGGCGGTATACTGGATATACTATATTCCCGGGTATTTGGGGAAAAAGCCATGGGATGGTTTTTCAATACCGGCAAAACTATTTCTTTTGAAGTTTTTCAATAGATTTGAATATTTGTAGCTACTTTTTTAAGAAAATACCTGCAGTCAACTTGTGCAACACGTTAGGAGATGAAACGGATGGCGTTCTTCATTTCACCGGTCACATTATTTTACATTATGAAGCTTACCGTAGTTCCCCAGAACAGTTGGGCCGGTCACGTGTTTGTTTGTAAATAGCACAACGGGAGAAGGCGAGCTGGTGATTCCATAGTGTTTTATTTCTAATCGGTTAGTCTCTGTGTGGCGCACATGAGGTGGTGAAGTTATACTTGTATGCAATTCACTACTAAATGTTTGCCACCAGATATCTTTTATAATGGCTTTCTGCCAGAAGTCAAAGAGCATTGGATGAGTTATCTGTACATTTGCCAATTTTTCCCCGTGCTTCCTGCTAGCGTTTTTCCCCCTCCTCTGTTCTTCTCCCATCTGCTCCATGTACACATGCTGCTCATCCTTCAGACAAGCATGCATCACAACTTTTTTTCGTTTCCACAATTTCTCTCATTCAGAGATGGTTTGGGATGAGTCGGACCGCAGAGAGAATGAAAAGCAGCCAACAAGTGCTCAGCAAATGTGGGAACTCCTTCAAGTCTGTTTGAAAAGCATTCCAGGTGAAGCTGGTTGAGAGAATGCCAAGAGTGCGCAAAGCTGTCATCAAGGCAAAGGGTGGCTATTTGAAGAATCTCAAATATAAAATATGTTTTGATTTTGTTTAACACTTTTTTGGTTACAACATGATTCCATATGTGTTATTTCATAGTTTTGACGACATCACTATTATTCTCTAATGTAAAAATATAGAAAAACCCTTGAATGAGTAAGTGTGTCCAAACTTTTGACTGCTACTGTATATGAACATGATTATTTATTTATTTGTACAAGTTTTTAGATAATTGACATTAAGGCATGAAAAATGTCAATTTGTATTTAAAAAAGTTTTGCAATCTATCATAAAACAGTTTGACAACCCTGTTTGTAAGCTTTTAAATCATATCAAACTCAACTTTCAAAGACATGGAAGTCTCATGGTAGGGTGGGGTATGCAAAATGGGTCAACTTTGAGCACCTTTATCTCTTGAATGTTTTGGCATTCAGGTCCAAAAAGTCACATTCTGACCACTTCTTGCATGGGCAAACATGTATGGAAGGTTTCGTTCAAATCAAAAGGGGTGCAATCAGAAAGTGATTGAAATCATATGGAATGACCCAAAAGTAGATGAGGATGGCTTCATTTTTCTGAGCATGCGCTCCTGCCTCCATTTTAACCACAGCCCTTTCAAGTCCCACGTTTGTGGCACAGTGTTAACAGGCTCTATGCGGCCTGGGGACGAGGTTAGTGGCACAGTGTTAACAGGCTCTATGCGGCCTGGGGACGAGGTTAGTGTTACAGGGATACTGCGAGATTCTGCCATTTTCTACTTCCCCAGAGTCAGATGAACTCGTGGGTACCATTTGTATGTCTCTGCTTGCAGTATGAAGGAAGTTGGAGGTAGTTTTGCGAGCTAATGCTAGCTAGCGTTAGCGCAATTACTGGAATTCTACAGGTGACTGGAAGTCTACAAATGCTACTGTACCTGTAGACTTTCAGCCATTGCGCTAACGCTAGTTGGTTAACATAGTATCCCTTTGATTACCCTCAAGTAGTTAAAGGAAAATTCCACCACTTTTCAACCTCATTTTAATTATCTCCAGCACCATGCATATCAGTGTCTATTATGTGAAAATGGCATGCTAATAAATTGTGGTTAAAAATATGAATTTCTAAAACAAATTATACCCTATAATATCATCGAGTATGATTTAAACGTTTTTTTTTTTTTTATGTTGATTTAGCCAGTGGTAGGCATTTTGGCTTACTCTCATTCATACAAAGAGTTATGGGATATTAGAATCGTCTTGTCCTAACCTGGATATCGTCAACCTAGACCTGAATGCAGGTTGTTAGGAACTTCCTCTGATGTCATATTGTAAATATGAAGTACGAAGCAGCAAAATGGGGCTACTAAATCACCTGCTGCAGTTATGTTGCATTAGTTCAGCACAGCATAGACAATTCTGAATAGACTTCAATGTAAAATGTTTCTTATTGTTTCTTGAGTGCTTTATTTCCTCTCCTCTCTCTCCAGACCCCCAGCAGCTAACTCTACCTGAAGAGGTGGTTCCCCCTAAGCAGCAGGAGTGGAGCCCCAGGCCGGGGCAGGATGACCCAGAGCCCACACAGATTACAGAGGAACAGGAGGAACTCAGGACCAGTCAGGAGGAAGAGCAGCTTCAAAGACTTAGGTCTGCTACCACAGAGGTTGTACAGTTGATATTTATTCCTCCCTGTGTGGAAAGTGACTGTGACCAGGACAGCAAGACAGACTCTCTACCCACCAACACAACTAAACAGACCCAATCAGCATCGGATGACGAGGACTACAGAGTATCAGAACTAACCAGTCACTCTCAACCCCTCTCTGCAGTAAATCCAGACAGTTCTGCAGCTCTGAGTGAAATCATTGTAAGTATTGATGAAGACGAGAGTGAAGAACTACCGTCAGGTTCAAAGAGAACACGGGGAAAGAAAGGACAAACCTCTCAAGTCTGCACTGAGGCCAAGACAACCAGTGAGCTGAAAGCACCACTAAAGTCTCACACAAGCAGGAGACCATACAAGTGTCATTTCTGTCCTAAAAGCTTCATCTCATCAATCAGTCTTAAACTACACCATAAAGGTGTGAAGGAGAGACGACAGCAGTTTCTTGTGTGCTGTAAATCCTTTCATTGCACAGCTTCTTTAAAAGATCATCAGCAAATTCACACAGGTGAGAAATCACTTAAGTGCCAAGAATGTGACAAATCCTTCAGATGCAAGTACTACTTCAACAAGCATATGAGGACTACTCACCCAGGTGCAACGACACACAGCTGTCCTGTGTACAGTGAATGCATTAGGAAACCAAGCCATTTAAAATCACATCAGTTCACCCACACAGAGGAGAAACCACACAGCTGTCCTGTGTGCAGTAAATGCTTTAGGAGATTGTGCAGTCTAAAGGTACACCAGAGACTTCATGGTGAGAAACCCAATCAGTCTTCTGTGTGCAGTACAGACTTTAACACCTTACCACCCAATTATAAAGTACATCAGAGCACTCGCACAGGAGAGAAACCATTTAAGTGTCCTGTGTGTATTAAAAGCTTTACTAGTGCAAGTCTTTTAAAAATACACCAGATATATCACACAGGGGAGAAATCACATAAGTGCAAAGAATGTGACAAATGCTTCTACCGAAATGGAAATCTGGTCCTCCATATGAGGATTCACACAGGGGAGAAACGATATAAGTGTTCTGTGTGTGAAAAATGCTTTATATCATCTTCTGCTCTAAAAAAACATTGTGAAATTGAAGAGAAACCCTGTCATCATGAAGTTTGTGGCAAAAGCTTCATGTGGGAGGGAAGCTTGACAGAACACCTGAATATGCACACAGGGGAGAAATCGTCTAAGTGCCTTGTATATGAAAAAGGCTTCACATCATCAAGTGTTCTTAAACGCCGCCAGCAAGATCACTGTGGAGGGAATCCAGAAGAAAAACTATCAAAGAGAGAGTCACACCTCTGCAGCGATTGTGGCAAAAGCTTCAGAACTATCAGTTACCTGAGAGTGCATATGAGGACTCACAGAGAGCGAGAGCTGCATAAATGTTCTGTATGTGGAAAGTGCTTCACATCATCTGCTTATTTCAAACTCCACCAGCGAATCCACACCGGAGAGAAACAACATCAGTGCAACGTTTGCAGCAAAAGCTTCACTCTGAGTGGACACCTTACAGAACATATGAGGACTCACACAGAGAGAGAACTGATTAAGTGTCTTGTATGTGGAAAAGGCTTTACATCTTCTAGTGTTCTAAAATGCCACCAGCAGAATCACTGTGGAGAGAAGCCAGAAAAAAAGCAATCTGAGGAAACGTCGTATCTCTGCAGCGATTGTGGCAAAAGCTTCCGAACTATGAGTTACCTGAGAGTGCATATGAGGACTCACAGAGAGAGAGAGCTGCATAAATGTCCTGTATGTGGAAAAGGCTTCACGTGGGCCTCCTCGCTAAAAATCCATCAGCGGATTCACACAGGAGAGAAACCTTATCAGTGCACTGTTTGTAGCAAAAGCTTCACTTGGAAGGGAACCCTGATAGAGCACATGAAGAATCACACAGGGGATAAATCACATCAGTGCCACGTCTGCAGCAAAAGGTTTGTTTATAGCAGAAGCCTGTCTCGTCATATGATGACTCACACAGGGGAGAAACCATTTAAGTGTCCTGTATGTGGAATATGCTGTACAACATCAAGTCTTCTAAAATGCCACCAGCGAATTCACACCGGTGTGAAACCATATCTGTGTAACGTTTGTAGCAAACAATTCACTTGGAAGGGAGGTCTGACACAACATATGAAAAGTCACACAGGTGAGAGACCATATAAGTGCCCGGTGTGTGAAAAAGGCTTTATAACATCGGGTGATCTGACACGCCACACGCGAGTTCACACGGGAGAGAAACCGTTTCGCTGCAATGATTGTAACAAATGCTTTAGTCAGATCAGTTCCCTTAAATCACACATGAAGAATATTCACTAGAGAGAGAACACGTCACAGTATAAAATGTGTCTGTCCTAAGGATGAAAAGGCTTATTCTAACTGATACCTGTAAGAGAACATACCATGGTTGAGAAAATGGTGATCGAATGACTGGACTTGTAGAACATTGCATATAACCTACACGGAGCGTACAAAACATTAAGAACACCTTCCTAATATTGAGTTGCACCCGTTTTGCCCTCAGAACTGCCTCAGTTCGTCTGGGCCTGGACTCTACAAGGTGTCAAACGTTCCACAGGGACGCTGGCCCATGTTGACTACAATGCTTCCCACAGTTGACAAGTTGGCTGAATGTCAGACCATTCTTGATACACACCGGAAACTGTTGAGTATGGAAAAACCCAGCAGCGTTGCAGTTCTTGAGACAAACGGATGCGCCTGGCACCTACTACCATACCCCGTTCAAAGGCACTTAAATATTTTGTCTTACCCATTCACCCTCTGAATGGCACACACACACAATCCATGTCTCAATTGTCTCGAGGCTTAAAAATCCTTCTTGAACCTGTCTCCTCCCCGATTTGAAGACGCACTATGCAGAAATAGCTCTGCCATTTCCTGGTTGCAAAAATTCTTATAGTTCGCCTAATTTCAGTTAATGTGACAAAATAAGCAAGAATTGTGTAGAGAATCATTTAACTGTCTTTTCCATAACCCTAAATATTGTATTTTCAGCTGTTTGAAGCTGGTGTACGAAACTTAAGAAAGGGAAGCATAGAAATAGTGCACATAGAACAGATCAACCCGCTTCTTAGACTTGCTTTCAATGAGAATAACACATTTCTATGTGAATTTGGTCCGGTCGCCCAACAAGTTACATATTGCAGCTTTAACAAGTGACATCAAGGGATCATAGCTTTCACTTGGTCAGTCTGTTGTGGAAAGAGCAGGTGTTCCTAATGTTTTGTACATTCAGTGTATGTTGCTTATTTTTAAGAGCGCAGTATGTGAATTGGTAAGCATCAGGAGTCCTTACTGATAGAATGAAACAGGATATTTGAACAACTTAGTTATTGTTAAAGGACAATGCTCATTGTTCACAAAATGTCTGCCTAAAATGATTGTATTATCTTTTTTTTTCTTTCTGTTTAACATGGCTATCAGAGTAAGACCGCAGGCTCTGTATTCATCCACCTCTCACGGAGACTCCACACCAGTGTGTCACCAGTGTTTATGTTAATAGTAGCTTTAGTGTTATTTTTTTCCCATCAGGAATGTGACACTAAAGAGTTGGGGCAAGCAGAATCAACAACCTCTGCGTCATCAAGACAATCGTTTTGTGAGAAGGTTAATCCATGTTCACAGTGATCTGGCCATAACCCCAAGTCTGATCAGGTCCACTGACAGCACGGTCCGAAGGGAGTTATTATCCAGGTCTATGGTCTCTACATGCCCAGCAGCGAGGACTCGTTAACACAAAGGGAGTTATTATACAGGTCTATGGTTTCTCCACCTTTGTTGAAGTAGATAAAGTAGTTCTATGAAGGTAGAGATGTACGGTCTCCCGAACCCATTCTTTCTCTCTCTTTGCTTTTTAAAATATGATTAATGGAACTGTCTACAGCTCACATTCATGGAGCACTGGTTAAAAACTCATAACATGTGTATTCTAGCAGCTGATTTAGCTAATGTCGTTTATTTTTTATTTTTAAGTGTGCCTCTAGGGCATTTCAGACTGTTCGGGGACTTTCTTGTGATTGGTTTCATTTATTGTTTAGTTTAATGTTGTACTAGTTCATTCGTTTTTAGTATTGTTCATGAGTATTGTATTATGTTCATTAGTTTGTCTATATTGTATTTTGATGTCCATTGACTCCCTGTCAAAATAAAGGTTAAATAAAATAATTTGGAGGGATGGGGTTTGGGGTTTGCAGCCAGAATAGGGTGAGGTGGGAGAGTTTTTTTTGTAACTTAGATTGTTAGGGCACATTGTAATGACACATTTGATCACAATAAGGAAGTACACAGCGAGTCCAACTGAGAATGATGACGGCGATTTCATCCTAAATTTTAGCGTTACATACATTTACATTTACATTTTAGTCATTTAGCAGACGCTCTTATCCAGAGCGACTTACAGTTAGCACATACATTATTTTATCGAACCCACAACCCTGGTGTTGCAAACGCCATGCTCTACCAACTGAGCTACATCCCCTGCCGGCCATTCCCTCCCCTACCCTGGACGACGCTGGGCCAATTGTGCGCCGCCCCATGGGTCTCCCGGTCGCGGCCGGCTACGACAGAGCCTGGATTCGAACCAGGATCTCTAGTGGCACAGCTAGCACTGCGATGCAGTGCCTTAGACCACTGCGCCACTCGGGAGCAGTTACGGCTGCTACGTCATGCCGCATTCACATGCGGAATTATGAAACTCTTAACATTTTCGACTTGCTGACTGGTTGAACGCGGCATGTGTTTAACTACAACCTGTTAACAGGTCGGCCATTTCATTGCATTAGTTTTAGCAGACGCACCTCTGGAAATAGTGGTTTAGCTTGAATTTCAATGGGTCACCAATGAGGGGGTTCGATTAATCTCGACCGGGTGACCATGTATTTTGCGTAATACATATAGGTTACTGACCACCATGGGAGCTTAATACATATAGGTAACTGACCACCATGGGAGCTTAATACATATAGGTTACTGACCACCATGGGAGCTTAATACATATAGGTTACTGACCACCATGGGAGTTTAATACATATAGGTTACTGACCACCATGGGAGCTTAATACATATAGGTTACTGACCACCATGGGGGTTTAATACATATAGGTTACTGACCACCATGGGAGCTTAATACATATAGGTTACTGACCACCATGGGAGCTTAATACATATAGGTTACTGACCACCATGGGGGTTTAATACATATAGGTTACTGACCACCATGGGAGCTTAATACATATAGGTTACTGACCACCATGGGAGCTTAATACATATAGGTTACTGACCACCATGGGGGTTTAATACATATAGGTTACTGACCACCATGGGGGTTTAATACATATAGGTTACTGACCACCATGGGAGCTTAATACATACAGGTTACTGACCACCATGGG